TTCCAGAAGAAAATTCTGGTTTTAACTTTTGGTTTGGAAGGACGCGGACCTGCGTCCCTCCGGCTAATTTCTAAATTATAGAACTTAAACACTTTTCGACCATTCCGAGCAAGTTGACTTAACAGAATTGTTTACAACACACAAATACTTAAAAGTGACTATAAAATTAAAATGGATTTACTAATTAATATTACAGTAGACTAGATCAGTGTTCAATATCAGTGTTTAATGAAGAGTTTTTAAGTGCAAACTATCGTCTAGTAGTGGTGAATATTGTGCCGCATTAGTGTTCTTCGTGCCTGCCGGAGCAAGACCTGTTAAGACTCGGATAAGATCTCCTATCTACCGAATCCTGAGCAGAGCCAGTTACCTCAAATCCACTCTTACATAGGCGGCACCACCTCTAATTGTAATCACCGCTACTAATATTCACATTGCAAATGACCCTCAGCCAGTCTGTCTTGGTGTCCATTCCCTTTTTGGGGCTCATGACCAGATATTTCTTCCTGTTTGAAAGTTACTGTCCTGCCCCTGTGATGCGCCCTCTCTGACGAGAGGACGTGTCTGTCCCACCCGTACTCTGACCTTACTGGCGCCCAGTATCAGGAGCCCCCCGCCTCAAAAGAACTATTACAATTAGTGCCAACAACCCGCGGCTGTCCAAACATCTACTACACACCTGAACCGCTTTCTTCTCAACGATTATGCTTTGAGACCAGTGCAAATACAAATTATTTATCAGTCTGAGGTAAACTCTGCGACAAGATACATGAATCTCCAGTAAGAAAGACTTGTAGTATCTGCAGTAAGTGAACATTGAGGTGAATGTGAATTGTACATGTGAATTCATTGGAACTGTACCCTAAATGTTAGAACTTTTGATGTGTTACTTTTGTGGTGTGCTGTTTGATATGCTGAGAATGTAACAGATTTCAGCTATATTACCTGTTCCTCGAACAAGAGAAAATTTAATTTTTATATCAAAATTCCGTTAAAATTTAATATTGTTCATTAAATAAAATAGCACTTAAAGTAGACATTTCCCTCCCCACTTTTAAAATATTATACCAAATCTCCCATCTGCTACTTCATCCCAAATTTTAAGGCATAAGTTTGCTATCCATATACTGTATTATATTGTGGCGTTTATCTTGGTAACGCAACAGTAAATAATCGGTCCCGGATTTGATAACGCGAATTATTCGATAATTTCCACGTCGTAACTACAATTCGTTATTACACTAACACATCAACTACTGGACTGCCTTCAACGAGGTCTTCCTGATGAATCTCTTCGAACAGTGTTCACTGCTCCGTATATAGGCTCGGCACGGACCAACCACAGAAAACACATTGCTGCTCAGCAACGGATACCATGTATTGTTGTCAGGCGTGTCCACCGATGCATTGCTTAGCAACGGACGCTCTATATTGTTGCATGCTCGTTGGTTGGAACATTTTTACGTATTCGTCCCCTAGAAACGGCCCAATCTGTCACAATGTATTAGTAAATTAGTGGGATTAATCATTATGTCATGGTAATATAATGAAGGCCGGTCACGGTAGCCGAGCTTTCTAAGGCATGTACTGTCTTCGCTCGCTTGGAAACCGGGATCGTGGGTTCGAATCCCAGTCAGGGTATGGATGTTTAGTTTGTGTGTGTGCGTTTTTCTGTGTTTGTGTACAGGTAGAGGCCTTGCGACGAGCTGATCACCCGCCCAAGGAGTCCTACCGAATGTGTAAGATCTAGAAAAACCGAAGTGAAGGGAGAAGTTCATGGAGGTAGGCCTAGGCCCACTGGGGCTGTAATGCCAAGGAAAGAAATATAATGAAGATCTTAGTGGAGGAAACAAGAAGTCAAAATTTCAACAAGAAGTGATTACTGGGCGTCTGTCCATCTTTTTTTTTTTTTTTTTACTCTCTGTATTAATTGGATATGAATTTGAAGGATTCATGAAAGACATTTTTGGCATTTCTGAAGGAAGATCTTCCCACTAAAAACCTCGCTTTGACTATATACTGCGAATGTTGTTTCGAACTGGACTGAATAAGATACTGCACTGTTTCGTATTACCGAGTGTCCAAATGAGCACTGTAGGAAATAGTAATACTGCTACGTAATAGACACGTGACTATTCAAACTGCGACATTCAAAGACATTCGGGATATAGTAGAGAGAGTTGGAGGGCACTGAGATATGCGAGTAACTTCCTCAGTTATATACACGTTGGCCGAGCCGTAGCTGAAGCGGTTAGTCACTGGCTTCCCACCGCGGCGGCCCGGGTTCGTTCCAGGGTCTGGTCAAGTGGGATTTGTGGTGGATATTGTGGCGCTGGGGCAGGTTTTCTCCGAGTACTTCGGTTTTCCCTGCCAATCTCCATTCCACAATCACCCTCACCTATCATCTGGGGCTGGTACAATAGGTTAGAAGTGGCCGCAGTACAAGGGACTTAGTCCCACCCCACTAGCAATAAAAAAAAATAACATATAGACGTTAGTACAGCTATGGCGGGATAATCGATAGACTTCACAGCCGCTTACAGAGAGCGATAAGAATTTAATTGCGGTTACTTTCGTTGAGTTTGTATTTTCATGGATTCTGTATGAAAAATACTAAACTCCACTTTCAACCAAGAATCCACTACTTCCCCTTATTCTTAATATATGCAGCCTGACTGTAGTAATTACAGTGCGGAGGCAGCATTGTTTCATATTAAGATAACTTTACTTTTCCACTAACCAGTTTCAGAGTAATTAAGTACCTCTTGACGGATTAACAGCAAGGGGTCTCAGGGCCGATATTACTTCATAACTTATTACTAAAATCTCTGAAACACATAGATACCGCATCCATAAACTTCGCATTTTGTTCAAAGAGAGTATTTATATGAAGAATGTCGTTTTCCGAAATGTGGCGCCATGTAGATATTGTGTAAATCGACGTTTCGAAGGCGGTATTCTTCATAATCACTCCATGAAAACCTCAAATCTTGCAGAATATTTGTATGTTTTTTTATGCTTTTCGAAATGATCGTAGATTATTTCCGTAATCGGCATTAGCCAGGTAATGTTTGTAAAGGAGAGGCAGTTTATTTTTTGTGAGGCATAACGCTGCACTTTTTAAGTATTTCTCAGAGAAAGTTCACGTTTCAGAAGTTAAATATGTCTAATATATTCAAAGCTGAAAGTATTCTAAGTGTTTATTTCTGCTGCTTGCAGTAACTGATATTCCCAATGCTGCCAAAAACGCAGGCCAGGCCACAGCCAAGTATAGACACCGCTTTATTTAATTCTAACAATGGCCCTCGAAGGGCTATACATTTTACAGCTCAACTTTAATTGCCTTATTTAATTAAATTCGAAAAGTGAAAAAAAAAAACAAAGCCTCTATGACGGTCCACGTTTCCCTTATTCCGCCGTGACGTCATTACCCCATTCAGTAAAATCCCGGAATCGGATTTACCCTATTTCTCTTCAGGCGCAATATCGCTATGTGTTCACCGGGTGTTAGTTCAGTGAAACTGATATTGTACCTATGTCTCTACAGCCCTTTGTTGGATCTTTCTGTTTATTAATCCTATAAACAATTGGTAGGACTCCTTGGATGGGGGATCAGCCCGTCGCAAGACCTCTACCTATACACATAACAACACAAACACATAATAAAAATACACACAGACATCCATGTCTCCAGTGGGATTCGAACACACGATCCCAGCTTCCGAGCGAGCGAAGACAGTTCATGCCTTACACCGCACGGCAACTGTTATCGGCCAAACTGCTATTCACCTATTATTAACAAGTTACGGGTCCTCTGAATCTATGCCGTGACTTTCAGCATGACGTTTAATATTTCGCACAATATGTCCGTGCGCTTAAGTGTCTGCGTGGGTGTGTTGTGTGAGCTTTGGTTTGTGCCTTTGTTAGCGAAAACGGTCGTTCCTTTCCTGTGTGCTTTGAAGCAAACTATCAAAAAATAATTTATGTATATTGTAGTGATATTCCGAGGTAAAGTTATCCTTGGGCTTAATTAATTAACGATCACGCTATGAAAGCGTATGGGATGTTGGGGGTATAGCTCCACCATTCTTGATCTTGGCACTAGAGAGATATTAGTAGTTAACTGCATACCTCTACCGCTTCACCCATCGAGGAAAGAGCCCTCGATACCCACTGAAGAGGAGACTTGGTGGGTCCCAGGTCCGGTCTGGAGGCTTTAGAGAAGAGAAATTCTCTTGCCTATGTCGGAAATGAACCCAAATTCTTTGGCATGCAGCCAGACTAAGCTATCCAGGCTCCATTTATTATTTTAATCTTAATACGTGTTATATACTCTCTTTCATTTATTTCGATATTATTTACAGCTTTGGCACCGCATGTAGATTTCTTTGAACATTAAAGCAGCGTCTACACGAGCGCACAAAATGCGTCCGTTGTAACGAACGTCGTGACGTCCGTTGTATAAATAAACAAGAGAGGCGAATGCTACGCTTCCTTCTGGCTCCATTACAGACAAAAGACTACGCACCGCATTCTGCAACTGTGTGGTGTCCTCAGCAAAGTACGTTCGTTACAACGGACGCATTTTGTGCGCTCGTGTAGACGCTGCTTTAATGGTTGCCTAGGAACGAAATAACATTGGATATCGATCTGTTAAGCACTGTGTAAAGGAAATTAGGCAAGAGGTAAAGGAAACGGAGAAAAGTGAAGAGAGGAAACGTTGCTTTCTTTAATTTTAAGGTAAGAACATTTCCTGAAATTTCTTCTCTCTGAGGTCCAGCCAGTTTCTTTCACTCCTTGTTGTCAAATGTCTTCAATTTATATTCTTCCCGTATGGTGAGAAACTGAGTCAAAACAATCCTAACTCGACGAAACATAGGTCATCGTCATGCATAGTTGCTGTTTATGATTGAAAATTTTAGCAGTTAATATTTTTTAAACTAATTTATATCTCTTAAATCATTTTAACACTGTTCTGTCAATTTCCTTATTGTTTTCAGATGTGCCAATTGTGAGCCTGGAACTTGGGAGTAATCTCAATGCCAGTTCAATACGAGAAGGAATTGATGTGTACTTCGAGTGTAACATAAAGTCGAACCCTTGGGTGTACAAGGTCAGCTGGAGACACAATGTAAGCGAATCGTATAGATACCTTGATGATTGTTCGTAGTATATATTACACATACACTAGAGAAAATATCTGTGCTGCCTGGAACAGAACAGTTTAACCAAGGGCCTTATGAAAACACATGACACTATAGGAAAAGTACAGTGTTATTCGAATGAATGAATGTGTAAGGGATGGGCCTTCTCGGCCCTTACACGGCGACCTACAGTGGTCTATTGTGCTTTCAGTGTTATTCTAAATTATTACCGCAGCTTCCATAGCCTATAATGTTCAAATCAGAAATAACCAAATAAACTGCTTATGGAATATGAAAGTGTAATCCAAAAAATTTGATTCTGCAGCCTTCATTCTATAAGTAATAAATTTGTTTAATTACACTTACATATTCTATAAGCAGTTTCAATTTTTTTTTTTCTGGTTTGAACATTATAGGCCAAGGAAATTCCGACAGTAATTTAGAATCATCCTGTATTTCATGGAATTTTAGTAATGAAACGTCTTGAAAGATTGTTAGTGGGTAGAATGACATATTCCTGGGAGGTAAATATTAAAATAACCCAAGAAAAATAATTTTTACAAATTTGAACTGGGTTGGATATTGTTGTAGGCATGTGTAGTAACGCAGTTTATTTTTTTTTACTTTCTATTGTCAGATGTTAATTAATGTGTATTTATGATTGTATTTTATTCATATTGTACTTTTAGGATCGTGGGTGACAGACGCGAGTAAAACCCTTCCGTCTCATTCAAGGCTTGAACTCTGTTTTGCAATGACTTTTTCGTATATGAACTTTAAAAAGATTGTTCTTTGAAAAGAACATTTTGTATGAAGTCAGTCCATTTTTATATGCAACAGTGGTCTATTATACGTTCCGAAAGAGCTGAGGTTTGCCACACGGTCCCATCCCCTATTTCTGGGGGGCTCAACCGCCGATTCCAAAACTCCGTGCTCTTTTTCTCAACACTTGCTCACTCACATCGCTGATAAAGGCAGGACGAAAAAACTGAGAAAACAACACAAAATATTTATTGGCTAAGAGCAAAAAAAACCTGAAATAAAACGGAAGTTGTGTAATAGTAAATCTAGCTGCAGTGAAGTATTAGTACACTTGTTGTCAAGAAAATAAAAAATATGTACATATATATTGTAATGTTAATTGATATGCGAATATACATGGGCTGACATGAATTAAACTGTTGGCCAGAAGAGATATGCAGTGTACCCCTTGAGAGACATTGCAGTAAATGTTAGTCCGCTAAGCTGGGATTTCTTGACGCTTGACATGCTTTAAATATTTATTTGCTTGCCGTTCTACGTGTATAAACCCATCAGACGCTGGACACACAGTTGTGCGTGTCAGAACACTATGTGTTTCCCCCCACGCAATAACATTCATTACTCTGATTCCCGTAAAAGAACGGGTGTGTGTCTCGGTTTTACTTTCATGTTTTAATTTCTTCCTCAAAATTTCGACACAATTTGAATGTAGCGAAAGTGACAAGGAATGTAGATATACGCATCTTTATGTGATCATGTTATTTTGCCATGAAAGCAAGCAATTGAACCGGGATAGCTCAGTCGATATGGCAACTAGGCTACGGTTTGGACTACATAGGAATCGTTCTTGTATTCCCTGAAGGGCCAGGAGGCTTTCAACATTCAGACCTGCTCTAGGGCCCACCACATCTCTTATTCAGTGGGTACCTTGGGCTCTTTCAGCGGAGGTAAAGTGGCCTGAGCATGAAGTTGACAAGTCGCCTCCACCTAGTGCCGAAGTTAATAATCCATGGAGCTGTACCTGAATTTCTCCATACGTCTTCCGGGTGTGTTGCTTAATAAAACACAGAGACACCTGTGCCTTTACATTTATGGAAACAGTCACTTCCTATGAATTCTTGTATTCCTGATTATTCGAGTTTGATGCAAGTAGAATACGTGAAAACTGAGCAGATATTTTGTGTCACCAACCCACAATTTGCACACCATTATTGACGTCACTATCGTGCAGAGGCTGTACGAGTATATGTCATTTATTAATAGTGAGACTCCACTTCATCTGAAGTCTGATTTCCGTAAAGCTGCCCTGCGCCCTAGACTAGCCCTTCACATTGCTTACTTAACTGTCAGAGCCTTTCAGCTTTGCTGTTCGCATGTAAAATAGCTAGGCTGAAAAAGGGAACGTGAAACGTGGACGAATTTAATCATCGAATAGCTTTAAAACTGTCAAATTCCTCGTGACACGTCTCCCTATCGTGAATACTGGTGGACACTTCTGTAGGAACTATGACACCTCGCTAACATATCAGTGTGTGATCGATCTTCCCCTAACATAATGGCTCCATCCGTGTGAATCAATTTCCGTTACCCGTTTCACAGGAAATAAAAGTTTGTACATATACCATATATCCTACAGCGCAATTGCAACGAGGACTGCTGTGACGAAAGGTTTATTTTAGATAACTAAATGGCGCAGGGTTTTTCATGAAAAGTTTCCAGTTAATCAGCAGTAAATAGGAACTTGAAATATAACCGTATCTCTGAACGTGTCTGCTTTACGCGACAAGTGACAAGAGAGCTGTCCGTGGAACTCGATGTTTAGGTCATTGTACAGGTGTTTTTTTTTTCTTTAACTGGGATGAGACTGAATCCACTTGGTACGTCGGCCACTAATTGACCTATTGTATCAGCCCCGGATGATGATGATGAATGTAGAGCATAACTATAATAAATATTACATGAATAACATTGTATCTGCCGTGTGTGTACCTTGCGTCGACTTAAAACACGATATGCTGCTTACTTAATAAGATATTCATGTATAACTATATTATTATAATTCGAATTTAACAATTTTCTGTGATTAGGCGATATTCAATTACTATTTCGGCTACGAGTTACGATCATTGGATATAGATACTCTCACCATCGTTTTCTTCAGTCTCCTCAGGAAAAATTCTAGCCTTCCTACCGATTTATTTTCATCGTCTAGAGATTCACATTCATGAAGAACTCTTGGAACTACAATTCTGTGCGGTGTGTACGTATAAGACGACCAACACATGAGTGCCCGTGGCCGAAAATCGAACTGCTCTCTGACGAGTGTTATTAGCAACATGAAAGCTACTGTCTGACTACACAAGTCTTCCTTCCTCTCCCCACTTCCCTAACGCAATCGCCTACATACCCCTGTGAGAATAACAGCGCCCCATGGGCCTAAATAAGTAGATATCTTTCTCTTGTATTGTCATGTATTGTCGAACGAGAAAAAAAGAATTGTCAGAAATTTAATAGGAAACAGTGGTTACACATCTTAAGGTTCTGCCTCGTGATCTGATGAGGAAACGACGAAAATATCGATCAGAGTACTCTGGCTAAGATTTCAGTCCTGGATCACCGTAATAGAAGTCCGGAGTTCTAACTATTACCCCATAACGGTCAGCTATCTAGCTGTAGAAACGCGCGCACACACTCGAATATGTATATATATAATATGTAATGTGAGTGTGGATCTACGAGTATTTAAATACTCAGCTCTGTGGCATAAATTCACTGCATCATCTTTCAATATTATCTGTTACGTGTGTTTCAAAATAAGAAATATAAAATTGAAGGCGTTTCGGAATCTGTCTGTATCTTCATCTTCAGCTGAAACACAGCAGAGAGTGAGGAGAAGGTACCTTCCCTACCGCCAGATAAACAGAGCTACTCTTCGCATATAAAGGGGGGCATGTATTGAAAACAAGATTATGCCAAAATGTGGGGGAGGGAAATGTTGAAATCACAGATTAGTATAATGCGTACACAATTTTGGAATCAGAATGTTGTAGAGGAACTGTGATTGTATTTTTTTTCCTTGGCACTACAGCCCCAGTGGGCCTAGGCCTACCTCCATGAAGTTCTCCGTTCACTTCGGTTTTTCTAGATCTTACACAATCGGTAGGACTCCCTGGACGGGTGATCAGCTCGTCGCAAGGCCTCTGTGTACACATACACAGAAAAACGCACACACAAACTAAACATCCATGCCCTGAGTGGGATTCGAACCCACGATCCCGGTTTTCAAGCGAGCGAAGACAGTTCATGCCTTAGACCGCTTGGCGACCGTGACCGGCCGTAATTATATATGCACTGCATATTTTTAATTTATAGTTTTAAAATTCTTTTCACAGCATTTTTTTTTCATAACGTGGACATTCTGGTGCAGTTCGCGAGTTAGATCAAAATTATGCTAGCCAGAATTTCTCTGCCAAAGAAAATGCACCCTCGTATATACGTAGTTGAAGTTGCTCTGAACCAACTTACTTACTGTCACAAAAGGTAGAATACACATATACTCGTGTTATGAAGCGACGCCTGAAAGCCGCGATCCCGCAACCTGCTGAGCGGAGTTTCGCGTAGCAGTTTCCTAGGTAACGGATACCGAACCACTTCAATTCCCGCAGCAAGAAATGTGCTGGAGACCGTTGCATCGAAAACACGAGAAGTGCAAAAGTGAAGACAGAATATGACAGCACACGGAAGTTGGAAGAAGAACCAGAATACGAGAGAATTCCAGAAGACCAGAGGCGCAAGATGCAGACAACCGTGAGGGATTCGGTATCCAGAAGGACTTGTATGTGTGAATTATTATACCCGAGTGTGAATGTACTAGTGACGTCTAATAAACCTAATCATCAAATCCAGAATCCGAAATTATTAGTCACGGAACCCCGAAAACGTGATAGTATATATATTTATATAGATATGTGTGTGTGTGTGTGTGTGTGTGTATAGAATTCTGTTAGTGCGTATTATGTAGGAATATGCAAGATACGTGTAATTTGCTGTTCGGCAGCTCTAGAAGAATGAAAATATAAAACGACAATAAGTGCGTACTAACAAATGAATTCTAATAGTTTTCCTCTCATCGGTTTTAGTTTTCATTCTTCACTGACGAGCAGATGAGCAGATGTGTCGATGTCACGTTCTGTGACACAAACTCCGTCATTTTAGTCCGCAAGCGAACTATACCGACCGAGCAACTGCCGCTTGTCGGCGGAGATAGTTCCAACTTAGCGGATAGATGGTGTCGCGTTGTATGCGCAACGAATCCCCACGACCGTTAATTTCGGTTATTTAGACCGGAGCCGTGTATAGGAATAATAACGTAATTTTGGTTACAGCAGTGGATGGAACAGACCTCTTACTCTTCACCAGTAGGAAGTCAACATATAGCAAGTTTTGTTTTTGAGATCCCTTGCATTTCATTGGATCTAAGCACAAACGTACTGTGTCATTGTTGGCTTCGTCCACTACTACAATCCGGTTGAACTGAACGTACAAAGAAACGCGACCCGCCCCTCCCTTTCAAGCAGAGATCTCTGCTCACCCCATTACACGCGCCTGTCAAATGATACAAACATCAGCACAGTGGTGAATCAGCTGTCAGTTTGGGTTTCAGCATTATTTTCAATGTATTTTGACGGTCCCTGGGATCGCACTATCCAAGGCACATGTAGTCGATGGTAGACCTGTGCAATATAGATCGATATTTCGCCATCGACTTTCATGAGATGATATATCGACTATATCAATATTCTCGCTTGGTACCAAACAGTAGCCTGTTATTGCCACGGAAACCATAAATAATGACGGGGTCTCAAGTAATATCCGAGCACTGTAACCTGAACTGCAGCATCAAATAACACCCGGAACCTGGCGCAGAAATTGTTAAGTAGTGGCCGAATATTGGTACATACGCGGTAGCTTAGTGGTTAAGGTACTATGCTACAAGCCGGAAGGTCGCGGGTTCAAGTCCCAATGAGGTCATTGGATTTTTTTCAATTGACCTAATCCTTCCGGTCGCACTAGGCCCTGGGGTTTACTCAGCCTCTAACAGAAATGAGTACCAGGAATTAATTAAATAATTTTCCTGGGGAGTAAAGCGTGACCGGCGCGTAAGGCTGACAACCTTACCGCCATCTTTGAGCCGATTGTCTAGATAATGTGGGAGCCTCAACGTCTCACAACCCTATGGAACTTCACGGCCTGTTACAGTGATAGATTTTTTTTTCCTTCTTTTACATTTTAAAGAGAGATCAGGTCTCACATAATAACCGGATACAGACACGAAGATTTTAAATAGTGGACCTGGATACTATTCGAACATTTGCGAGTACGTATGTACTTCAGTTTCGCCTACTCGATTAGTGTTTACTTCTCTCAAGCGTTGGCTCACGGCCTTTTATTTAGCCCACCGATAACGAATTCAATTCTTAAATAATTCATTTTTTTAGTTACTTCTAAATAAATGTCACTTATACATTACAGACAGGGGCACGCTGTAGCGTAGTTGGTTGGGGCACTATGCTACAAGCCGGAAGGTCGCGGGATCGAATCCCGATGAGGTGGAATTTTTTTTCAATTTACCTAATCATTCCAGGCGCATTATGGCCCTGGGGTCGACTCAGCCTCTAACAGAAATGAGTACCAGGAATATTCTTGGGGGTAAAAGGCGGCGGACACGTAAGGCTGACAACCTTACCGCCATCTGTGAGCCGATTGTATAGAAAATGTGGGATCCTCAACATCTCACAACCCTATGGGCCTCCACGGCCTGTTACAGGGATACCTTTACCTTTTAACTTTTAGTTTATACGTTACAGACTCGTTGATTCTTTAATTTAGCTGCCCTTCAATCTGTCTGAGAATTCTGAAGTAATGTAATGATCCAGTACAGGCAGTTGTTTTAATTGCTGTGCTGAAAATTTCGTCTGTCGGCTGGACACGAGATTTATTTCTGGTTTAGTGGCATGATGCAACAAGAGTACACAGAGAGCATGAGAGTGAGAAAACATGTGACTCATCCGGGAAATTACCTCCTTTGATGCTGTTCCACACAACACACATCCGAGAGCCAGTGTGGGGTTCAGAATTTCAATTTTGTGTACACTCAACTAAACTATTAACACGTTCAAGTATCGTATTCGCAAAGTACAGTTCCGCGTACGTCACAGAACTAAAACCAGACACTTCTGTTAGTTGTGTTTCTATGTTTGTTTATTTGTTCTCCTGTGCATACGCCTGTGCGTATGAATATGCGTGCATTGTGTCTGTTTATAAGCTTCACGCTTTCCTAGGCTCCGCGCCTGGTGAAGGTAAGTGATCAGCTCCATGCCTCAGCCGCTTTACCTNACGTCTGTGCGTATGAATATGCGTGCATTGTGTCTGTCTATAAGCTTCACGCTTTCCTAGGCTCCGCGCTTGGTGAAGGTAAGTGATCAGCTCCATGTCTTTACCCCCAGTTCTCATTGGACAAAAGGCAGAGTAGATTTTGGAGCCGGTGTACACGCGGTGACAAAAAAAAATTGTCCCTATGGGCAACGGAACTCCAATCATAAAGCCCTTAGCGAAGGAATCTATCTAATTATTTATTTTTGTGGCATATATTCACATTTATATGCTATAAATACGGCAGTACATGTATGATTATTATGAAAACCAAGTAGCTCCTATCTAAGACAGCAGATTTTATGTGTTTCAAAGGTGTTCATAACTTCCTTTGTATTGGAAATTGTTGCCAATGACCCCTACTGCAGTAGAGGGATAGTAGGCTGTTTAAAACGCCATGTAAACAAAGAAATACGTGTATATATAGCGTCATATGATATATGGCATTGTTTACGTACCGTAGACAAGGAAGTGCTAAGATTAATGACAAGTACTGGCTCAGTATCCTGCTTCATGGAGCTGAGCCCTTCTTGAGAAACCTCCAATTGTGCAGCTACTTAAGAACTTCCCAGCATTTCATGGAACCCGAATGTTCATTACTGTGTTCACAAGAGCCCTCCACTGGTCCCTGTCCTGAGCCAGATCAATCCAGTCCACACACCCCCATCCTATCTCTCTAAGATCCATTGTAATATTATCCACACACCAACGTCTTGGTCTTCCTGGTTGTCTCTTTCCTTCGTGCTTTCCCGTTAATATCCTATATGCATTCCTCTTCGCCCTGCCTCTCTTATGCTCCTTGACTTCAATATATGAATTATACTTGGCGAAGAGTACAAGTTATGGACTTCCACATTATGCAGTTTTCTCGAACCTCCTGTCACTTCACATACTCCTAACATTCCAAGTATCAAAGTTCATATCCATTTTCTTTCTCTTAGGTCGTTTATACAAAGAATTCATCCAGGTCCTAGGTCCTTTGTGACATTTTATAACAAGCTTATTTTTTAAGGAGATGAGTTGTTAGCCCCACGCCCAACCCCCAATGTGGAGTACCACCCCTTGTTGGCTCTCCGCGACTGCTTATTCAGTATATTCGCAGCTACCCTCCATATCTGGAGGCCGTCTCCTCCATCCGCAACCTGAGGCTGAGCCATGCCGTGGTGACAAGGCACACACCTAACATGGATCCTACTGGAAGAACAATTACCAGAAACCTTAGAATGATGGATGAAGTCCCATTAGCGCAGCGCTACCTTGAGCGGTTGCTGCTGCAACGGGTATAAACTGCATGCAACTTTGATTTAAATGTGCAATAAGGATTAGAACTGAGCCTGCGAATGCATATAACCGAGGCCTGGCAAGTGAGTCATGAAGTCGGTGAAGCAGAGAAGGTTTTATGCTTGTTACAGGGCAAAACGCTGTTCAACAACGCAAGTATGGGTACAATCGTGAGTAACCAGAGCCTGGTCCTCCAGTCAGTAACAAGGGCTCGAGCTGGTCTCTACACGTGTGTGGGCAGCAATCAGGAAGGTGACGGCGAAAGCAACCCCGTCTCTCTGGACGTGAAATGTAAGTTGCCTTGTTTCAGCAAGTAGCAGTGATCCCATTGTTTTTAACTTCAAAGATATTAACGTCGTCTTGGATATGTTGCCGTATAGTCCTGTATATTATTACCAACAATTCGTAGGATTGTGCAGCTTGCATCTTCAGTATAGAAACTGTAGGTATCACATTACTTCAAAGCGTCTATAACAACCTGTTATCTGCACGGTGCCAAACCCCAAAGACAGTAATCTGGAGTATTTTCTGTTAAGAGGGGTTCCTATTGAATCTTTCTTGAGCCAAGGAAATTGATTTGCCACAGCCCGATATTGGGTTTACAGGGTTAAGTGTCTTGCTTAGTCACGAAATTTACAAGTTATAATAGCAGTCTTATTTGCATGTGCTGGTAAGCCATGAAGACAATGAAGTGGGGGGATAAAGCAGAACCTAGAGGCTAACTTACCTGTGCAAAAATGGTTCCAAAGGAGCTCACCAAAGAACACTGTCTGTGAGGGAGTCTTTAGCTAGTAAACAAATAACTGTGCTGGAACATCCTCCCTATTCACCGGATCTACCCCCCAATAACTTTTTTCTGTTCCCGAAGATAAAGGAAACATTGAAAGGAAGGCATTTTGATGACATTGATGACATCAGGAGTAATACGACGGCAGCTCTGAAGGCCATTCCACAAAACAGTTCCAAAACTGTTTTGAAGGGTGGACTAGGCGCTGACAACGGTGCATGGCTTCCCAAGGAGAGTACTTTGAAGGCGACCATAATGATATTCAGCAGTGAGGTGTATAGCACTTTTACCGCGATTAGTTCGCGAACTTTATTGTCAACCCACGTAAACCGGTTGAACGAATTTTGTTTCAGATTTGAGCTCCTCGCACCCGTCATTGTGAGGAGTTCTAATTTATGGAATATACCTCCAGGTAGTTCGGTATAAGTCTATTAGTTCTTCGATGGATTGTATTGCGTCCATCGTCACTGTCGAAGGGTAGGGTAAACGAGAAATCAGCAATGAACAGGCGGTAAATAGAGCGATTAGCAACTAACGAGTACAATTTCTAGAGTTGGTAATTAACACTCACCGAACCACCAAAGCCTTGGGAAGGTAATGAAACTCAATTCTGTGGTCCTGTTACAGTAGTGATTTGTCACCAACTCGGACATTGGTTGTAATTTGAATAATTCACTTCATCTGGATTCCCACAGTGGGAAGAGCTTAGTGGTAGCTTATGTCTGAGAAGAGAATAGCATACGAACCGCACAGTGCTACTGTTTACTTGGCTAGCCAAGCTACTTCTACTGAATTTTGACTTTGTCTCATCTTTATTCATAACTTATATAAACTAAGGGAAGGACGACTCAATTCATTAATTTGAGGAACTCTGTTTGAACTGGGTCATACCAGTCACGCCAGATGATACAGCAAGATCACTTTGTCTACAGCGAAGTTATCCGTCGTTTGTATTTCGTGCAGCAAGTTATTTCCAAACTTCAACTTTTTTTATTCACGAATATTATTCTTTATGTTTATGAAAAGAAGAGTTTGACAGTGATTAAAGGGCGCTCCGATCTCGGTGGCGGCGCGGTCTAAAGTATGAACCGTCTTCGCCCGTTCGAACACTGGGATCGTAGGTTCGAATAGCACACAAGTCATGGATGTCGATGAGTGTTTATTTTGTGTTTGTGTTGTTATGTATGTAGGTGACGGGCTGATCTCCCGTCCAAGGAGTCCTACCGACTGTGTATAGGATTAAGAAACTGAAAAGCGACCATGGTCCAAAGAGAGACTTAAGGATGCGCATCTTAACTGTATATTCTATTAAAATTTATATAACATTGTTAGTGGAGATTTCAAATTATCAAAAAATCCCATGAAGGTCTATCTTGAAGCTATTGGAAAGTGAGTATGAAAAAAGAACTCAAATGGTGTGCGAAAATTTTCAAACGCATTTCTTTTGAATTTGTGTACCTGACCGACCTTGGTGTTTATTGATTGCAGATATCTGCTGTTACAGTAAGAACCCCTTTTTTTGTTAAAATTAATCTCTGCTCTCACATAGCTGTGTATATTTCCACACAGTCTGCCTTTACCGGTTCTCACGGTCTCTTCGCTTGCAGATTTCTTATATTTTTTCTTCTACCCTGAAGATGGAGGCGATACGTTCCTCCGAAACGTCGGTTAACACCACATATACACGGTGCCAAATCCCAGAGTACTGCTTTCTTCATAGTCACCGCCGTGAAAGCCTCAAATCTTACATAAAATTAATCGCATTACAGGTTTCACAGCAAACGACAGAAGTTATTCTTCCTTGTATTTCGTCAGATATTTCGCATATAATTAAGTGGTTCGCATAAAAGCTTTGTATTTTTATAAGGCTTCAATTTTACCTACAGTGCTAATTTTTCTGTAAGATAAGCTCCTACTGAGAATATTGATAACTTTCAACTTAAACATCATGCACTTGACTTATACGAACCAAAAGAAAGTAAACATTACTGTCTTCAGGCATATAATGCTGCGTAATCGGGTAGAAATCCATTGACAGTGAATCGAGCTCCATAGTCTGGATTATTTTTTTCCGCAATTCACTAATTTNCCCCCCCCTTGTAAAATATCAGTATTGGCCCCATAGGAGATAATCAGCTGATTAACTCTCTAGTAATAAAATGCGAAGTTTTCAACACTACTGTACATAAAATTCTGTCATTGAACCTGATCTCAAGCCAGTTCAGTCCAGTTAACGTTCTCGTCTACTTCACTAAGGTGCATTCTCATACTGTTCCATCCATCTCCTTGGCTGTCTACTACTGATTTCTACGAGCGTGTTTCATATACCCAACCGAGCGGCATGTTCTGCGCACCGTAACCTTGTTTACTGCTTCTAGTCCTTGTGTATTTGCGGCTTTCGGACTTAGCCACTTCGAATATTGAGGGTTTTCCAACGTTTAGACTAAACTTACAGTTACCATCTTCAGGGTTAATCACTTCGGGAGCTGCCCAAACCCCGCCCAGTGTTAATAACCCAGAATATGGTGGCCTTGCGGTTAGCCGTCGGCTTCCCCCCCTGGCGGTCAGATTTTGAAAGCAGATCACGTCATGTGGATTTTGTAGTGAGGAAAATGGCGAGTACTTCGCTTTCCCCTGCCAATTTTAATTTCTTCAACCGCTCCGTATTAATTAATCATCATATCATCGACCCCACATGGTCTCCATGTGAATCAAAATGCCGCCAAATTGTGTGAAATTAAGAGAGAAAGAAACTGCACTCGCTGGCACGGAAAACAGTCTGTGCAGTAAAGACTAGCATGGAAACAGAAGCGAGAAATACGAACCATGTTTTCTGATCGATAAAGTTCATTTGTAGACAGCCAAATCAACAAGAATATCTTGCACAACAATGCAGGGAATTGAAAGAAGGGCGAACAGCCTAGATGTTGCAGAATGAAAGTCTCTCTCGACAATTGACCACCTCCACCCCAGCCCCCAAAAGGGAAGACCGAAAAGACAGATATACTAATTAGACCGACTTGTCGATGCTGTAGCTGGTAGAACTGTTTATAACTTCTATATTATCATAAAGAAAAACTTCGGAGAAAGCTAAAAAGTGGTATGAACATTCAGGGCTGTAGCACCACATTACGAAAATTTTTAAAGAAATTTGGTTTTAAGTGGCGGCAAAACCACACCACAGCATCTTCTTATGATTGAGAAGCCGGACGTTCGTGTCAAGAGAATAGAGTATATAACGTAAATTTGGTGATTCATTGAAGAAAACCTTCACAAGGATGAGTCGTATGTTCAAGAGAAGTTCCGTAGCGCAGTTCTCTGAACGGATTCCTCACATCTGTTTCAGCGTCAAGTTGTGAGTGAGAACGCTCTCGTCCATAACGCTCTTGCGACTGAGAAACTTCCTCAGGCTTCAGGGAAACATCACCGTAACGCGAATCAAAACAATTGGGAGAAGCGGGTGAAGAAGCAACCCGTGTAAAATATTCCTGCCTATAAATTTTTGTGATTGTGAACCTTATCACAACGTAAAAGTAAATATGATTCAAACATTTTTTTTTAATTGTTTCATTTTGGTCCTCTAAAGATGGTTTTACTAAAACCGAAACATGTAAGGCAAGAGTGAGAAAGAAGTGACCTAAAAAACATTGTTACACTCGACGGACTTTGTATTGATTTTATGATTCAGACACTCTCTACAAAAAAAAAATCCGCAGTGGTTATAAAAGCCGGTCATGGTAGCCGAGCGATCTGAGGCATGCACTGTTTTCTCTCGCTCGGAAGCTGAGATCATGGGTTCTAATCCAACTCAAGGCATGGATATTCAGTATTTGTATGTGTACGGTTTTCTGTTTGTGTACAGGTAGAGGCATTACGATGAGCTGACCACCCGCCCAAGGATTCATACCGAATGTCTAAGTTCTGTTAAACCGAAGTGAAACGCAGAGTTTCATTGAGGTAGGGCAAGGTCCAAAATGAGGCTGTAGCTCCAAAGAAAAAAAAATGGTTATAAAACAGAATATTCCATTTGTTGATGAAATGCTGAAAGTCATATTTCATCGGTTCATTAGGCAGTACAAGCCCTACCAAGTAGCATACTCCGTGGATAATATACTGGAAAATTATGGACACACAACACTCCATCTGTGACCCTGTTACCCAAACTAAAACCCCGTCTAAAATATCGAGAAGAAAGTTAAAAGAATCACGCTATTGCAAGAAATGTTACATGTAGTATGGAAGATGTGACGCTCCCGTGTGAAGAAATGTTTCGCAGTGTGGGCGAGGAAGACTGGGCCACTCTGTAAACACGCAAAGAAGATGGAGAACGAATATTATGAGAGAGACGCATGTTTTGACAATACAGTCGAGCTTATCGTAGTCAGTTCGAGGTATGTACAGACTGACGACAGTGAGAGCGGTCAAGGCAACAGCACAGATCCACGGGACGACGAGAAATAGGTGGCGTGGCACTGCTCAGAGGCAGTAGTGGGTGAGCGCGGCA